GTTCGTTTACGTACTAACTAACTACTACTACGTACGTTACGTCTACTACTACTACTATATATATATATATATATATATATATATATATATATATATACATATATATATATAGATTCAGGAGGATATACGTGTGGTTTGCTTTTTCCACAGGTAAGAAACAGACTCATCGTCCCATATATTTGCTAACAACACATCTGCAAGTATTGTGCATTTATTTCAGTTCTCGCAGTGTTAAGCTAATCACATTGTCAACGGATAGCTGATAAATTATGACCAGAACTTGCCTAGCTGTAGATATGGCAAAAGTGGTCCCATTGGATGCCGATCCCCTAGAGGTATCGGCTTGATACTGTCAGTCGCTGCATGCTGTGCGGTATTTTGAATTCCGTACTTCCTCAGAATGTACGCGGTAGCATTGTAAGAATTCTGCATAATTCCGCTCAGGAAGTGAGCGTGTATACACGCTATAACGAACAAGAAACGGGTTATATTCCGATTTGGGTCGACACATATTCATTCAACTTAAGAGTCAGCTCAAGCTCAATTGTAAACACATATGCCTATGCGTGTATGTGTACGCGATCGATTTTATTCCGCTCTAATGTCCACTTTTTCTCTTTCCTACTCGCAACAATGACAGGCTCTGAACTGACTATCAGAATTTTCATATGTGGTTAGATTTGTACACGTATACGCACTACTATTGGATATACAAACTAACGTAGAATTATGTGTACGCATGCGTGCCGTGAGTGATATTTTGAACGCAGCGTGTTTTTCATGAGAAAGCAACAATGCTGTCTCTGTAGCCGTCATTCTTTGACCCAAGTTCGGAATTACTTAACTAGACCATTCCTATGCGTAAATTATCTACAATTATCCTCTAGGAATACTTTAACGACTGATATATATATGGACTTTGACAGAGTTCTCACAAGAGTTGGTACACGTACTGTTTTGTATGTGCCTTTTATCTGACATCCGCGTTTCGGTGTGAAGTACTAATTATAGCGTACCTATGTTCATGGTTCGTTTCTGTCACTTATTTTCAACTATATTATTCGACTGCATTCTGGCACTTAGATTTCGCCAGTCACATGTAACTTAGCCATCGCCCCGGCACCAATAACGCCAGAGTCCTCGCCCACCTCGGCATATACTAGCTTTGCATTATTGGGCAGCTTGGTCCAAGTGTACTTGTCGAAAGCAGTTTGGATTTTCTCGAGTAGGATATCGCCGGCCTTGGTCATTCCTCCGGCGAACACTATACAATAAAAGAGGTTCATTAAAGGTTCAGCACCGGATCAACCCTTATTGGATGGAACAAGATAGATTATTGTATAGTTTTTAAACAGCCACAAGCCCACGTATGTAGATTTCCAGCTGCTAAAATTTCAACTATATACATCAAACGTATTTTACACGGGTATCGGTGCGGACTCTTATGCATAACGTTTACCACGAAAGTTTTGGGTTCTGATTCTTGAAAATGCTTTAACCTGCACCGCGTATCATATCGGGATTGATGCACATTTGAAAATATGAAGGGGATCAACACTTCTGGAACGCTCACAATCGTCTCTTTCTCCGTACAAATGTAAGAGCTGATACATACGTACAAATAAACGTGAAACAAATGAACATATGCGCACAACCACATTGAATACATACCTATTAGTTCGACGTCTAGGAATCTCGACACATTGACACTCATCATGCCGAGCTTATCCGCCGCTTGGTCGATCGCCGCATTGGCCACCTCGTCTCCCTTTGCCGCTGCCTGGAACACTTCGTACGATCCGAAATCACCCACAGGCAGGCATGACTTAGCCCCAGGTTTCCGTGCTGCCTCCTTGGCGATACGAGCCACATTCGACGCAGATACGTACATCTCTATACAACCCTTTTGCGAGCACCCACACAGGTCACCGTCGGGAACAACGATAGCGTGTCCTCCTTCAATTAATCCCGAGTAACCCTTGACAACGGCGCCTTCAATCACTACACCAAACCCAACGCCTGTGCCCAACGTCCACATAGCCATATTTCTAGCACCGTGTTTCTTTACAGCTCCTACCCATACTTCTGCGGCAATCGCAGCATCAGCATCATTTGCAAGAATTGTAGTAACACCCTCACATCGATCTTTGATCATCTGTGCGAGCGGAACATCTTTCCACAAAGGGAAATTGGCTGCGCTTGTAACCAGGCCATCTCTAATCCCTCCTGGAGACCCTACGCCAATGCATGCAACTTCGGAAAGTGTGTGGTTGCATGACTTTAACGCTTCTCGAATACACTCTACTAGTCTTTCTGCGACAGCGTTCTCTTCTAAGTCTGTGATTGGGAGGTCTTTGCGACACACAAGCTCGCCTTCTAATGTAATTACGCCAGCTTTGGCATTAGTGCCACCCAGGTCGACTCCAATGTAAAGGTTCTTATCTGCACACATTACCGCAAATTTGTGTATAATGTGTTCTGCTGATAGTTCTGATACGGATGGCAACGTTCGTTTCTGTTTTATGTCAGCACATATGCTCGACACTCGACACTCGACGGACTCGACATAACAGTCGCATTTTTTTAGCATTCTACTTTTATCTCGGACTATGCCGCTATGGTGATATGTGCATTTATCATACGTGCTCTCTGATAAAACTTCAAAAATACTATATTTGGGCGATCCCCGACCCGAGCGCCCTCAGACTGCCTGCAAACACTGACTACATATTAATACTTTTAAAAATTTGAAACAAACGTTTACAAATCGATAAACGTTACACGCCACCAACTCAGTTGATATTAACGTATTGAAATACACTTGATGGCCCAGGCCTTGTCTCGGCACAAAAATTTGTGATGAATAAGAGGCCAGTGGTCACATTCACAATCAGTAATACTTAATTATGATTGGTATAAAACGCTCCTCAATGGCTACAAGTGGCTGAGATTTCATAGCCTTCTTCTAAATAGAGATTTCTGATTTTCCTTCTTTCTCTACTTCTGTATACGATTTGCGGTTTGATTTTGGTTTGATTGCTGCAACTCAACTACCTTCAATCATTGGCTAGCTAGAATTTAGCACACAAAAAAAAGAAGAAGAAATATGTGTAACCCTAAACTCTAAATAGCTGGCACGTGCTTCTATCTGTAAGTCAATGGCAGGCAAAATCCAGGAGGTTGAATGTTAATTGTGCTTGAAAAATGGCCTGTGGAGTGTTTTTGCTAAGGATGGTCGAAGTGATAACCTCAATCACTACTATCACATTCTAATACCTGTACATTCAATCTATAAGTTAAGCGGTGTCTCTATTGAACAAGTAGCTGAGTATATCCTAGTAGTTAAAAGTATGTAATTATGCCTCCAGCCAGTACCACCACCGAAGCCGGTAAAACCGCGCCTACACTTACACAATCTACAGATAATACTAAAGAGCCCGAACAAGCTAGCAGGAAGCGGAAAAGGGATGATGTAAGTGTACATTTCTATACTTCTCGGATTTTTTTGCGATGTCAAGCTATGTAGAATACAATGAGAGTTACAGATAAGGTTTGGCTTCTATATACAATATGTATTTATTGCTGAATAAACGTTATATATATAATATATATATATATATATATAAATGTATGTATGTATGTATGTATGTATGAATGTATATATGCATGTATGTATGCATGCATGTATATAAGTATATATATATATATATATATATATATATATTATTTCTATATATATATATATATATATATATATATATATATATAGTATATATATATGTATATATATATATATATATATATATATATATTGTATATCGCCGTGGGGTAAACGTATTAGTCTATTCATACATTTTTTAATTATATTTGTTACGCAGCTTATTCCACCTGTATACGATAATGATGATACATAATTGGATATATATCGTTGGCTAAGAAATGTATATACCTGGTTTTTATTGAACGTATGTAGAGCTAGTATGCCCCTTAGCATATACGACAGTCATTTATTGCTTAATGATTAGTTATAAGCAGCTTACATAAGTAGAGACTTTCGCACTATGGACACAAGCGTACATAAATATCCTGCGAGTCTTATCATTGCATATCTTCACTGACCAAGCCGGCACAATTTCTGCTTCTCAGGATGGAGGACAGCCCGAGCAATACATCGCCTTTGTCGGTCAACTGCCTTACACAGTCGGGGCGGATGAGATTAGAGATCACTTAACGCGTCTGGGCAATATAGGAGATGATATATTGGGTATTCGCATGCTGACAGAGAAAGGCACAAATAAGTCGAGGGGCATGGCATTTGTGGACTTCAAGACCAACAAGGCATTGACGGTGGCGTGCAAGCTGCACCACACTAAAATGGATGGTCGTAGAATAAACATAGAAAAGTCCGCGCAAGGCGGTGGCAAAGGACTCCGGCGAACAGTTGAGAACAGGACGACTAAAGAGGCGGCGTTAAAGAAGAAGAAGGAGAGCATCCGCAAAATGATTGATCGGTGTGTTCGCCGATACGAATTTAGTGTGAATTTCTAGTAGACACGTAGGAGATACTGTTTTTGTATGTGTAGAACCATGCAAGTCTTGTGTGTCAGTTGGGTATCTCTTTCTGATAGCATGCCTGTTCAATATATTATTTGTCGGCATACAGCCCGCCACCGCATAGATGTTGTTTGTTTCTCGGGTTCGCACTCGCTTGTATTTAAATGGGTCTTCGCCTATGATATCCGCTTGATCACCGAGCTAAATATTCGGTCTAATTGCACTGTATAGCACTTGTATATATACTAGTTTGTGAAGCATAATGTTGTGATATACCTACTTTTTATGTTCCAGTCTCCACCGCGAATTTGGAAACAAGCTTATATATCACCCTCCCCCTCCCTTTTAGATTGCTTGAAGATAATGACGGAAAGCTTTTCGCAGAAGATGTTGATGATTCGCTATTCGATTTTATGACTTGGGTGCCAATTAGCGTGTCAGAGAAAGCACTGAAAGAAGTATGTCTACGCTCTGTTCGTGTATTTCCTCAGAAATTATAGGTGGAATGTTCAGTATATACGTATCATAGTTCCGTGTGGAAAGTTGTAATTGAAAATCCTCGTGTTAGCTGTTTAAACCACTATTAGATATCGCATGTATTTCTTTGTTATCATTATCGAACGGTCAACGTGTATATGTATATTGTATGTATATAAAAAGTTGGTTTCATATTTGTTATGTATATATAAATTCAAATTTATTATTTCATAGATATAATATACATATATATATATGCGTGTGTGTGTGTGCGCGTGTGTACACGTTTGTATATGTGTAGGTTCGTGAGTCTATGCATGAGAGCGTGTATCAATCTGTATATTAAATATTCTATATATAGTAATGTCTACGCGTTTATATGTATGTAGGTAATTTTTCATTCATGTACGTAAGCATGTATGTATGTGTATATATGTGTGTGTTTAGGTATATATATATATATATATATATAAGAGAGAGAGAGTGTGTGTGTGTACAGTTATTTATTCCGACGATTAATGTGGGTATCACCTGTATAAAAAGCGTTGTGATACCTTTGGATTTTGTCAGTTGTACGTTCGTCATCGCTATTGTCAATGTACATTGGTTTGTTGTCAACTAGTATGAGGCATTTTCAGAATATACGGTTCAATTATACTCTCGCTACAAGATATTACAATGTCAAACAGATTCTATGTGCTTATACCTTGTGGCCTTAATATGACCTGTTTTCGTACTGTATTCTGGCGTATGCCGGATTGTTGGCATGTGCACTACCAATCCAGTATATTTCCCAACTAAATCATCATACGCCTTATCATAGGTTTCTCTGGCTAAACACATGCACATATTCCCACAACTACCAGTTCATCAATCTTGACGAGCAGCATTCGATTGAGAATCGGCAAGCCTACCTGCACGGCATGGTTAAGAAACGGCACGCGGCAACCGACACCGTAAAGATGCACGAAGAGAATCAAAAGGAGAAGGCCAAGGCAAAGGCCGAGTATAAACCGAACAGCAGTAGTTTAAGGGGGCGGGGTGGCAGTCGCGGTAGAGGTGGTGGTCGAGGCGGTGGTCGAGGCGGTGGTCGAGGCGGTGGAGATGGTTATGACCATAAGAAGCAACGAAAATCCTGGTGAACGAGCGTATAATAGGTGCTACCGCGGATAAAAGTGTACTATTTTAGACGAGCCAATGTATAAGGGACTGAGTTGTTGTGTACCGTAAGGGCATATAAGGTGCAATGCTATGTAGAAAACGTATTCCTGCAGTTTTGTATTGCTAGAAAGTACCATATACTCTTGCTCTCCATCAGCCTTTCTGATATTATCTGATTGTGCACGCATACATTGGCCTATTCTCATATATTCATGTCGGGTATATTAGTATCTTTAAACCAATGTTTTATGTACACGCGTATATGATTATCTAACTTATAGAACCGTGTGGGGCTTCCGCATATATCAAACCTCTATAGATACATTTACGCGAGATGATAATCCACACCTCAATTACGTTTTTAAGTTTTTGCATACACACCTGTATATTATATGTGCGCTTATTTTAATATTGAATGAGTGATCAATCTCTGAAGAATAATCAATAGTATAGTGATCTAAATATATGCGATCTAATTTGGACTGAAATGCGATACTAGGATGAATGAGGATCCATAGTGTATGATCATCATGTACTAATTTACTAATCTAATTGTTTATCTGTCTTCCGAGACACCCATTAGGTTCCCAAACAGCTCCAACTGGACTGTATCTCCCTTCGACTCCTTGCCTTCCATAATGAGAATGTTAGATATGTCAGTTGCAGAGCCTTCAAAGGTTACAGGTTGCATCATGGCCGAATCTGTGGTCTTGGTATACGTCAGCTTGGCCTGACAACTACTGTCAGATGAGATGCTTACTGAAACAGGTCTGCCGTTCGAATACTTGATCGAGCCTGCGAGACCACACTCGTCTCGTTCCTGTCTTTGACGATAATATTCTGCGAGATCGTCCATTTTGTATGTGTATACGGGGAACGTAGTGTAGTCTTTCACCCATCTTAACGAAGCAACGATCCATTCCTGTATCAAGGAAGTCGAAAACCTGCCATCACTGTACATTCGAAGATTCGCCTGGTGGAACATATATGGCTCAATTCGCAGAGATAGTAGGTTGCGTGCCGTTTCAAAGCCTTCAATTTCCATCAATGTGTCAACAGTGAGGTTGTCGTCATACTTAAATGTATCATTCTTACAAAGCGTACAGTTGGGCCCGTAGATGGAGTTATGTTCCATCTCGAACTCCACTGGTAGCGAAACGTCGAAATATACCCTGGTAGCAAACCTGGGGATAATAGTAACCGATCTCGCACCATAGAGTTCGAGCATCTCCTCCTCGAAATCCTCCCTGTCTTCGGTGGTGAGCTTTTCTCCATCGCCATTCACCTTCGCTATGGCAAGGAAAGGATGCCATGGGTTTGCTGGCTTAAGATCTAAACGACTATTGTCTCCCACTGCATTGAAAATTCCGGCCGCAAGCATTGCCCTGACACCTTCAGTGTAGTTAAGGCCGGAAATTCTCGGCGTTACCATTGATCTTGGAGACCACGCCTCCTCATGCTCCTGCACATTTAAAACTTCCTCTGCAAAGTACTGATTGCGAGTCAGTTCATATGTTTCGTATTCGTAGGGTGTATAACCACTGATAGGTGCATAATACGCAGGCTCTTCCCCTTCGTAGTCGCAGGGTCCGTCACTCCAGTCAAAACATGCCTCAAATAATGGATCATCGACAGGGTCCGCTTGACTACAATCAGAATTCAGGCAGTACATATCAATGTGATTCCAGGTATGTGAAACCCAAAGAAACTCATCAAAGTACTTCGTGACCCCTTCGTTCAGATTAGGTTCGTAGTCCTTTCTTTGACCAAACTCTTCCCAACCAACACCGTTGAATGCCATTTGTAATGTGAAGTTCGAGCCAGAAGGCAATGCAATATTTAAGTTGCGCTGAAAGTCCCGGTGAGCTTTGAGATCGATTTCCGTCATTCGGTATTTCTCAGTACTGCTGTTTTGTGTGCCAGTTGTGTCGTAAATTTTGGTATCAAGCAAGGCGTCGTCGACTTGGCAGTCAAGAACAACCTTGCGCTCTCCCAAAAAAAGACCTCGTACGACCCAAGGGTACCACATATGTGCTAGAGTCACTCCGTGCAATCCGAATAAATCCATGTTTATATGGAAGTGAAGAGTCTCACGCGCGGAAAGGCGATCCCGTACCAGCGTAGCACCAACTCCAGTACAAGCCTGGCCGTTCGGGCAGGTGTAATCAAGATTTAATATTGGCTGCATGTGACCATCAACATTCTGATCTTCTCTAATGAGCGCTGGTGTAAGCCAATATGCACCATTCGCTGATACTTCAGTTTCGCTTCCCACGCGTATCCGCGCGTCTTGATTCAGTATATTACGCATGTCATTTGCCCAATTGTTCGACGCAAAGCTCAACACCGTCATATTATCAGCGGCTACGCCTCCTTCTGAAATTGCAGGTGCCATAGCAAAATCAAAAATTTCGATTGGACTGCTATTCAGAGACACTGTGCGAACGCCGTACTTCACACAATACTTGTCTAGTTCATCCGAGGTTTCCTGCGTGAGACCATATTGATTCCAAATGGAATTAAAATTTTCATCGTAAGAGGCAAAGCCTAAATTCAGCGTTGTAAGAACGATAGAGTTATACTTGGGATCGTTCGTTTCGGGATCGTACAGATCTATCCTGCTAAAATCACGTCGTGTCGAATTCGTTCCCATGCTACCACAATTCTCTGAGTTCGCTGAAGAATCAGTACATTCTGGAAACCTAAACTCAGACTCCTCCGTGATTGATACTGTATCGAAATTCACTCCGTATGCTTGCGACACCCATATGGGTAACTCATCAAAAGTATTAGCACCGGAGGTGAGCACAAGTGTCCTCATACCGATCGAAAAATCCTGCTCAGTTTCTGTGCGTGCCAAGCATGCAACCTGGCACATAGCTACAATAGCGAGACGCGAATATAGTTTCTTCATAGTTAGACTATGTATATGCGAGACTATGTATGCGAATGTACGATGAATTTAAAGGCTATACAGTATTGCTAATAATAAGTATTAATATATTGCATCCGTGTTATATGAAAAGAACAAACCAAACCCTGTCTAGAGTATTGAAGGTATACAGTATTTAAAATAAAAAAAGGTCTACACTATACCGTATACACTATAGTCTGACTCTATATCACCCTGCTGGTAAATAGTCTTCACTCTGTGGACTGTACTCTGCACTCTGCACTCTGCCCTCAGTAGTCAGCGTTGCACTCTCTGGAGTCTACAGTGACTCTCTGCACACTATGTTGCACATGTTATTGCAAAACATTGAATCTGCAAAAAGTAGAAGTGAATGTTTTTATTTAATTTTGCCCCTGGGCCGTATTTCAGACATATTTGCCGTTGCCTTTGGAGCTTGGGATTTGGTAGTCGGTGCCCAACTGTCCGTTGCCCAAGCCCCAAGGCCTTGGGCAGAGTGGGGCCCTCTTGGGCCTTGGAAGTTGGGCCACTCTGGGACTGGACTCTGGCCCTGTGTTATATTTTATTGTTATTAGTATGAACTCGGCACGGTGACTGGGGTCCCGGGTCTCAGACTCTCCGGTCTGGGACTCTCTCTGGAGTCTGGGGTACTAGTAGTAGTGTACTAACTGCATACTTGACCTTGTACTGGATGAAGTATTTTTCATTCATTTTTTTTGACCAATTGAGAGTAATGGTTCCACACTTTACTCCACTATTGTGAACCTGTTGTTGTGAGTTGTGAGTTGTGAGTTGTGAGTTGTGAGTTGTGAGTTGTGAGTTGTGAGTTGTGAGTTGTGAGTTGTGAGTTGTGAGTTGTGAGTTGTGAGTTGTGAGTTGTGACTTCTTGTGAGAGGGAGACTGTGAGCCTGTGGCTGTGAGGTCAGTAGGTCACTGAGTTCAGAGTTATGACTTGTTGCGACAACAAGTTGACTGACATTTGACAGAAGAAGTGAGAAAGAACTTTTATTAGGAGTCGGACGGTCCGACGGAGCATCAGAGGCTCGGAGCCTCTGAGGTGGGAGAGAGTTGCAACTTGTGACGGGTATATTTACTATTTACTCTATAATTTAGTTGTTTGACCGTCGTGACCTGACTGAGACTCTCGTCTCCGTCAACAACTGCCCAGATTTTACTTACTGTACTTCAAAAATGAATATTTTACTCACAGGAATATCACTTGTGAAAATAGCTGTCACACAATGACACATATTCCGAGTATCCGACATCACATTCTGAAAAGTGACCATGGCCTTCGGGCTTCGGCTCATCAGACGGGCTTCGGGCCTCTCAATCAGATTCAGATCTCAGGGTCTAGTAGAGAAATGATGAGACTACTATATTTTTAGGCTATAATATGTCAGATATTTCAGACTTTCGGACTCAGGTCTCAGTATAATCTATATTTTAGAAAGAGCAGGAATATGGAATTGCTTTGTTTCTATTTTTCAAAATAAAGTAGAAAATTGGAACGAACAGAGGAAAATAGTTTGACTTTGTAATTGTTTTCGGTGAGAAAGAGTTTTAGCACTATCCCAAATTTGACTATTGTTTAAAAAAATATCGGATTTGTAAAGATAAAAACCTGTGTTTCTATTTCAGAAGGCTAACCTGTCCTGTTACTCCTGCCTATGTATTTTTTTACGACAAACTTTGTTGTGGGCTCGAGGCCTTGAGCCTTGAAGTGCAGGCTGCAGCTTGCATGCAAAACCTATACATTTCCCATGATGAGGGCAGGCCGGCGGGCGGTAGGGCTGGGGGAGCTACACAGTAGACTAGTTACCAGTGACGGTGGCCTGAAACTGGAATTTTTTGGCTATGAAATGGAGAGAATGAAAAGAATATTTTTATTTAAAGATCTGAGTTGTCCGCGGCTTTTCAATAGAACTCTTCGAAATACTTTTTTTATATCAATTTCAACTTCCACTGACAATGATTTGTTTTGCTCTTTCTTTTCTTTTAAGCAATAAAATACAAAATAAAATAAAACAGGTAAAATACCCAACAGTCAAGCAGTCATGTGTCCAGTCGACGACTCGACACGCAGTCACACTGCACTGAGACTGCAGTCTGCAGTTATTAAGATGCAGTATGCAACTCTCTTCTTGTACAGTAGTCTTGAGTGCAGAGTGCAGACTGCAACGGTGCAACCTGCAATTCTACACAGTGCACAACTGTACACACAAGGCCAGTACATGGCACACAGTCAATCAGTCGCACACCGCACAGTTGCACACTCTCTTAGACTCTTACACTGTTACACAGTCGCACGCCGTCAAACAAATCACAATCTATCATCCACTAAAAACCTCATATACAAAACCTTTGTCAATAGACTATTTTGAGAGGGTGATACGCATTCTATATGGCCAATCATTGCAGAAATCTTGATGCTTCACGTGGCTTTCTGTGGTATGGTACATTCCAGAATCCTGGGCCCCCTGGTCCTCAGCCCTCGAGGCTTCATTCCTATATTCCGGAATCTCATCTACCGTGATTTTCTGCTTCTTCTTTTTTTTACAGTGTGGCGGGCGTGGTGACGTGGTCCGTGGAACAAATACCAAACGTTTGGCGGGCGTGGTCCGTGGAACCGTACATCTTCGAAGTTCGATTTTTCTTAACAAAATAAAATAAAGGAGCAGATCTGACCATGGAACACGTATTTTCCGAAAATAAATATGGCGAAAAATTGGCATTTTACTATTAAAAATTAATAAATATGCACTAAAAACGTTAAGTGTAAAATTTTAGATATGATATGAAATTTGGAGAAAAAAATACGTAATACGAGTGTTGATTTCAAAAATATGGCAAAAATATGCCATTTATACGCCATATTTATGAAATATGCCATATTTCTAAAATATAAGCCATATTTATGAAATATGCCATATTATATAAAATATGCCATGTGTCATATATACGAAATATAATATAATATACTATTTGAAATTTATTTGATTTGCGATATTAATTTATATATGTTGCAAATATATTCTACACAGTACCACAGACTCCACAGTACAGTGGTACACACCAGGCCAGCACCGCCAAAATGCAACCTGAAGTTATATATGTATATGTAAGTCATCTTTAAAGCGAGTATCATTTGACTGTTGACATCTGGTTGGCACGTAAACTATTGAGCAGAGATAGTTGTCTTAGACTCAGTAAAATAGTTGTAATCGCGTACATCTGATTGGATGATAGTGACTGAGTAAAAGATAATCTAATTCCTGTGGTATTCCACCACTGTACACTGTACACTGTACAATGTGCAGTTGTGCACTGTGTACAGTGAGTTACTGCACAGTGTGTAGTGGGTGCACTTTGCACCCAGTGCCACTTACTGTATAAATGAACCGGGTAAACGTGCTTAGATAGGATTACAGAATAAAGCATACTATTATTGGCTAATAACTGTTGAGTACATACAAGATAAGTTTCGTTGGCCACACTATATGTGGCAATATACTAAATAAATAATATCTAATAATCATAGACAAACGGAAGTCGGAGAGTTATGATTCACCAAGTCACCACTAAGTAAATACCTGTACAACACCGCAATATCACATACACACTGACCACAAGCTTGATAACTATTAATATACTAGCTTCGAAAAATCCGTAAGCTGTCTGTAATATAACCACAAACGTACACAAAGTATTGGTTAACTCTTTATAACCTAGCTAAAAACTGTCTATTTTATAACAGTAAACTGCACACATTATATCTGTCAACTATTAATAAGTTGGCTATCAACTGTCCATCAACTGAATATGACTGTCTGTAAACTTTTAGAATATTAGCTCTATACTATCTATCAACTGTATACCAGCTCAGAGTTAGCTACAATTACAATGGGGGAACTTGCAAAAATTACTTACGAGGATGTTGATGTAGAGGCTATGATACACGAGCCTTTACTAAGGATAAACCTGCAGAAATATACGATGGTATGAAAAAGGATATCCGTATAGCACTTGAAATTAAGCAATGGACTGAGGTAGACGGCGGAGAGGGAGCAACATGTAACTTCTGCGCTGAAGTAGCTAAAGCAAAAGTCAAGTACTGGAAAGCTAAAAAAAAGAAGCCAAAAAAGTTAGAGTATGGAAGCGTAAAACGGTGAATAATGCTATCTCTCATTATGAGGGCAAACATGCAAAGAATTGGTATCAAACACTCAAAACTGAAAAGAAACGTGTTTGCGATGAGGGAGTGAAGCACGAGCAGCTAAAGGTACCTTTCTTAGAGAAGAAGACTGACAAGGTAGTGTCACAATTCTCGCATAGCAAAACTAAGGCAGACATGCAGTGGGCTATCATGACCTGTGTAAACGATGTACCTTTTGCACTCGGGTCATAAACTGCAATTCCGTGACTGGTTTCATTTAGCGAAGCAAGTTCCGGACACCTTAAAGTCTAGATACAATCTGCCTGCACCGGCAACTGTTTGCAAGTACTTACCCTTCATTAAGGCAGGTATAAGAGCTAATGCACTCCGACGTTGGCATGTGGCTTGTTTCTACTACAATGGTCCCTTTGTCGCAGTAGAAAGCGATCTTTGGAAGGATGCAAATGGTACTAACTGGCCAGGCTTGCTTGTTCATTTCAACGACCCAGAAACCTTTGTGATGCAAACTGTATTCATTGGATTACTAGCTGTACGAGGAGGACACTCAGGCAAAAATTTAGTAGAATGGCAACGAGACATTTTAAATGACTGGATTCAGGCGGACAAGAGGTCGAATGGAAAGTTAGATCTGAAACAGATCTTTTTCAGCGGTACCCCAGATAATGCAGCGAATGTCATGAAAGCCATGAGAGACACTGCCCTCTACACACTTGGTTGTCTATCACATAAGGTACAGCTATGCCTAAAGAACGCAGTTAGTGGTGATATCAAAACAGCAAGTAATCAGGTTACACTGTTGCGGGGAGAAGGTCTACACAATGAGAGTGAAGACCTTCAAATTGATATTCTGGAGCGGATTATAAATATGGATACGGATCTTGCTGATCTTGCATCCACAACGGAAGCTTACGATACCACGGTGATAGAGGCATTAATAACCAACATTGCGACGAGAGCTGCATATTTCAATAAGAGTACTGTAGCTAGTGACAAACTAGCTTTAGCCCAGCAAAAAATCGGTCACGAGGTGAAGAAGGTTAGGACCAATGGATCAACACGATGGTTAGGGCTGTATCCGATGGCTAAAAGAGATAATCTAATTGATCCTGCAGTAACCGCAATTTTGGAGGATCCACTGGAAAACCGTCCATCTGGGTTGTGGTATGGGAGAGATGACAAAAATAGGAAAAATAAGTGCGAATCGTCAATAATTGTGAAGACACTACGACGACAGTTTATTGGAGTTTTGTGGCCACTTATGGTACTACAAATTAGAATTCAAACATATACGCAATGTTTAGCTGACGCCAACGAGAAAGTGATCGATTGTTTAACAACAACTTCAGTACAGGGCAGTTCGAAAACCAGTTCGGTATCAAAGTCATCTTTGGATTGGCTAGAGAATATGGCGGAAGACACAGAAGCAAGTCCAGCCAGCAAGCGTCGCCGACTTTTGCAAACTAAGAAAGCACAAAGGAATGTTGTGGTGGACACCTCTTCTAACACACCTTCAGAGGAAACTATGCACCGGGAGATGGAGAACAGTGTAGATAGGGAACTAGATATATGGGAAAATCTGCCAGTTCAGCTGCCCATCACGTTAAGCGAAGGCAAATTGATGAATCCTACTTTGCAGGCAACAGAGTACTGGTTGAAATTTCGGAACACATTACCCATTTCATTCAAGCCTACATCATATCATGTCAATCCGAGAGCGTCATCTCATTATCCGGCAATCTCCTCGATGATAGTCGGAAAGCGACCTTCAATGAGAGTACATTTAAAAATATGACGTTCGTCAAGGGCAATGCCAGTCTGATACCCCCTCTTTCTGAACTGGTAGATAGTCTGTCGGAAAGCACTCCGATAAAGAAAAATGCAGCAACAGATACTAACTAGAACAAAGCTCAATAAAAGTCAATCTACCTATATAATACCTTCAATAACGTATGTCCATGCGTGTGTGTGTGCACGCGCGCGTATCTATATATATATATATATATATATATATATATATATATATATATATAGTATATATATATATATATATATATATATATATATATATATATATATATATATATATATATA